GGCGAAATCACCAACTGGTCCGTCTTCAAGACCACCATCGCCGCGGTCTTCGGTCGTCCCGCAGTGCGCCGGCTTCGCGCGGAACAGCGTCTCCGTAGTCGAGTCCAGCGCAGAGATGAGACCTTTACAAGTTACATTGAAGATGTCTTGTCTCTTTGCAAGCGCGTCGACGAATCTCTAATCGAACGCGACAAAATGAAGCACATCATCAAAGGAGTTGATGACGACATCTTCCAGATGCTCGTCGCTAGGAACCCACAGACCGTCACCGATGTTGTCCAGCTCTGTCAGGAGTACGACGAGTTGCGTAAGCAGCGTGTCTCGACGCGCAGGGCCGCTGAAGATACGGCTGAAGTTTCCGCCCTCGTGCACGACGTCACTCCTGATCACACCGTCTTACTGCCCCACATAAAACAATTCATTCGTGAAGAAGTTGCGCGTCAGCTTTCTCTTGTGGCCGAAACATCCGCGCCAGTGACCTCGTTAGACCCACGTTTACGCCAGGTCATTGAGACACAGGTCACGCAGGCACTGCCTCCATCGCCACCCGTCCCTACGCCGTTGACCTACGCTGCCGTCGTTGCTAGACCCCCAGCCCCACCTGTCTCTGGCGCATACCGGGGCACCGGGTCCTCCTACCCTACGACGCTGCCTACATACACGGCACCCCATCCCGTTTCACCACCTGCACCTTCTGTCGTTAACCCATGGCGCACCTTGGATAACCGACCCATCTGTTTCGCATGCGGTTTCGTGGGACATATAGCACGCTACTGTCGCCGTCGCAACTTCCAGCCTCCAGATCATGGGAATTCTGCAAATTACAAAGCTGCCCAGAATCCCCAGCGACCATCTTCTCCTATCACCGACTCATTGTCCCCACGACGCCCTGTCGATTCTCGCCGGTCATTACCACCCCGTCGCCTATCTGTCTCCCCGATGCTTCGACGCACGAGCCCCGCTCGAGAGGAAAACTGACAGCCGCAGTTCCGGAGGCAAGAACTGCGTCGTCGTCGAACTTTCCAAGACCTCCTCTTTGTCCGCCCAACGAAATTGATGTGCTAGTAGAAGGTGTTGCTGTACGTGCACTTGTCCACACAGGCGCCGTCGTTTCTGTAATTAGTGAAAAACTGTGTCGCGATTTGAGAAAAGTTACAACGCCGCTTACGAATCTTGCTCTGCGTACAGCCACCTCCCATTTCATCGCGCCGACAGCTCAGTGCACAGCACACGTTCTTATTCAAGATGTTTGGTACGCCGTCAACTTTGTTGTTCTCCCACGTTCATCTTACGACGTCATACTAGGATGGGATTTCCTTTCTACCCATCAGGCCCTCGTCGACTGCGCTCGTGCTGAACTCACGTTGACGAATCCGTGCCTTGACATCGACCACCAAAGTCCCTCGAAAGTGTTTGCCGCAGCTGACGTCCACATCGCGCCGTTGTCCGCCGTCCTAGTGCCTGTGTTTTCCCCTGCTGCCACTAACTCGACGCTCCTGTTCCAACCAACTATAGCTAGTGTGCAACACCGAACCATCGTCCTCCCGTTTGCCAGTCATCAACTTTTCCAATGGTTCGGCGGTACTTTATGCGTGCAATGTTTCTGCTTGCCCATACATCCTGCTACGCGGCGAGTGTCTGGGGAGCCTCGAGACCTTAAATTGTATTTTCGAAGACCCGATCTGTCCAGACAAGCCATTCTTACTGACTTGTGCCATTACACCCGCAGCTGACGCTAATGAACCTATGGATGTATTCCGCAAGTCCATTGATTGCAACCTCACGCCTGGGCAGCAGGAACAGCTGATCAAGCTCCTACAGCGTTTTCGGGCCTCGTTTGACCACAATCAGCCTTCCTTAGGTCGAGCGTCATCTGTTGTTCATCGTATAGATACCGGTCAAGAGACGCCATTACGGCAGCGTCCATATCGTGTGTCAACTACCGAACGCTGTGCCATTAATGAACAGGTTGACGACATGCTGACACGTGGCATAATCGAACCGTCAAGCAGTCCCTGGGCCTCTCCAGTTGTGTTGGTGAAGAAGAAGGACGGATCCATCAGGTTTTGCGTGGACTACCGACGTCTCAACCGAACCACGCGCAAAGATGTCTATCCGCTGCCACGCATTGACGATGCCTTGGACTGCCTACAGGGAGCCGAATTTTTCTCTTCTTTAGATCTGCGCTCTGGATACTGGCAGGTACCCATGGCAGAGGCCCATCGCGAGAAAACAGCTTTCATCACGCCCGACGGGCTTTACGAATTCACAGTCATGCCCTTCGGCCTCTGCAACGCGCCGGCTACTTTCGAGCGAATGATGGACTCTATCCTTCGAGGCCTCAAATGGAACTGTTTGCCTTTGTTATTTAGATGACATTGTCGTCTTTTCAACTGATTTCGCAACCCATTTACCCGCCTCGAGAAAGTCCTCGCGTGTATTTCTGCCGCGGGGCTGCAACTGAATCTGAAGAAGTGCCATTTCGCCGCTCGAAAGCTTACCATCCTTGGCCACGTGGTTTCAAAAGACGGCATTCATCCTGATCCCGCCAAACTTACAGCCTGTTTCAGCGTTTCCCAAACTGACCACCATGAAAGAGCTCCGAAGCTCCATAGGCCTGTGCTCTTACTTTCGGCGCTTCGTTCGCAATTTCGCGACGATCATCGCTCCTTTGACCAAGCTCCTCGCCGGCTCTAGAGACCTTTCAGCCTGGTCTGCCACCTGTGACGATTCTTTCAATGAACTGCGCCGCCTACTCACGTCGCCGCCTATTCTGCGACACTACGACCCATCGGCACCCACAGAGATCCACACCGATGCTAGTGGTGTCGGGCTAGGCGCTATTCTTGCACAGAAGAAAGACGGCTTCCAAGAGTACGTCGTTGCCTACGCAAGCCGAACTCTTAGCAAAGCCGAAATCAACCATTCCGTCACTGAAAAGGAATGCCTGGCCATTATTTGGGCGATAGAGAAATTTCGACCTTACTTGTACGGACGCCCTTTTGACGTCGTGACTGACCACCACGCCCTCTGCTGGTTGTCGTCACTGAAAGATCCAAGCGGTCGCCTCGCCCGATGGGCATTACGCCTTCAAGAATATAATATTCGTGTGGTCTATCGCTCCGGCCGGAAACAATCGGACGCAGACGCCCTATCCCGTTCGCCCTACCCCCTGACCCGGACTGCTGCGAAAGGCTAACCTGTGATGCCACTGCCGTCACCATCGCCGACATGCCATCAGAGCAACGCAAGGACCCGTGGGTTGCTTCGATTCTAGACATCCTGGCTGGGCGGACGGCTTCCCCCCCTTCTCGCTCGTTGCGTCGGCAAGTCGAGCACTTCGCCACTCGCGACGACGTGCTGTACCGACGCAACTACGCACCCGGTGGACGTCAGTGGCTACTCGTGATTCCACGTCATCTGCGATCCGAAATTTGTTCCACGTTTCATGACGACCCCCAATGTGGACACGCAGGTTTCCTGAAGACTTATTCTCGCATACGTCTCCGATATTACTGGCGTGGCATGTACCGTTTTATACGACAATACGTTCGGGCCTGCTCGACATGCCAGAGACGAAAAACTCCCCCTTATCACGCCAGCAGTACCTTGTTACCCTTACCATGCCCATCCCGATCATTCGACCGCGTCGGCATCGATATCTATGGTCCCCTTCCCAACACTGCTGACGGTAACCGCTGGATCATAGTTGCCGTCGACCATCTCACGCGGTATGCCGAAACTTCATCCCTTCCCTCGTCTACAGCAAAAGACGTTGCGACTTTCGTACTTCACAACATCGTATTACGTCATGGAGCACCTCGGGAGTTACTGAGCGATCGTGGTCGCGTATTCTTGTCAGACGTCATCACAGCATTGCTGCGTGAGTGCCACGTCGTTCACCGCACTACAAGCGCCTATCATCCCCAGACCAATGGAATGACAGAGCGCTTCAACCGCACCCTTGGTGACATGCTGTCTATGTATATCTCGTCAGATCACTCCAATTGGGACCGAGTGCTCCCGTTTATCACGTTCGCCTATAATACCGCTATTCAAAGCACTACTGGGTTCTCTCCTTTTTTCCTCCTTTACGGACGCGAACCTTCTTGCACTATGGACACCATTCTTTCGTACAAACCTGACTCCTCAGAGTCCACGACTTTGTCTCAAGCCGCTACATACGCTGAAGAATGCCGCCAACTGGCCAGATCATTCACAACCCAAGACCAAGGACGCCAAAAGCACCACCATGACGCATCAAGTAACACTACTTCCTACGATCCAGGTTCACTCGTCTGGCTGCATGTCCCTTCTGCTACACCTGGCCTTTCTACCAAGTTGGTCCCCAAGTATCACGGCCCATATCGTGTGCTACAAAAAACGTCACCAGTGAATTACCTCATTGAGCCACTGGAACCATCTTCTGACCAACGTCGTCGTGGCCAGGAAATTGTCCACATCTCGAGACTTAAGCCCTGCTATGACCCTCCCGTGTTTACTTGTCCATAGGTCGCCAGGATGGCTCCTTATTTCGCGGGGAGTAGTTGTAATGAATTAATGAATCTGAATAACGGACGCTCTGCTGGCAATGAAGAAGACGACGATGATCGGTGGCTGCAGTAGTAGCTCGCGCACGCCGCTCGCCATTAGCCAGACCTGCCTGATAAAGCATATTTTGCCAAGCTGCGTCTCAACCTTTTTCAACGTACAACACCTCTATTTTAATATATATATATATATATATATATATATATGTTTCACTTTTTTTCCAATAAAGAAAAGTTGTGAGCAAGCACCATTTTTTCTTTCTCTTTTGCTCCTTCTCTGTCCTGTGTTTCTAGTGTTGCGCTGTCAAGCTCACGATAGTTACCCTGACCATGTTGTCAACTATACAACAGTGTTGAGCATGCAACAGGCTACTGGTCTGCACTGCAGACAATTAAAACGGGCACGAGAGTTTGCATAATATGAACTAGCAAGTGAGACAAGGAGCTTACCCGCAGTGCTTCATGTTCTGGGGCTTGTCCATCCGCAGGGCGATCTTGATGCGCAGGTCCTGATCCTGGGCGTTCTTGGGCACCACCATGCGGTACCACTCAGGTGCCTTGGTGCTCAGGGGGTTTGGGTGCAACAGCACTTTGCCCAGCTCCTTGTCGTCCAGGGACAGCAAGCCCGGGCTCTCGGTGTACAGCTTCACCTTGACCAAAGGCAGCGGCTGTCCCGTGGTGAAGTCCCCCTGGGTGTCCCACATTGGCTTGGAGGCCTCAGCGTGGTCCGTCTGCAGCTTCTCACCCCCCTCCACCTCCATGGTGCAGTAGACGATGCGGTTCGGAGCCAACGACTTAAGCCCTTTCACCTCCATCACCACCACCTGCAAGACAAAACGAGAGGTGACAAAGCAAGCACCCTCCTACCATTTTCGCTCGCTAACTTGTGAATGCAAGCATTAAAGCATTTCACTAGAACCACTGCTGTACATCTTTCATTTTTAATGGCTCCGCCATCTAGAATTTCTTTTTCTCCGTGATCGAGCGAGGACCCCTTCCGAATCTGGTTGAATCGTCATAGAGGTTTCTTTGGCTGAAGATTTTACGGTAGTCAAGTACCCACCAAAAGAATAGTGCCACGTTTCTTTCCCTTAAATTTCGTTATCACCCCGTTACACTATGTTCAGCAAAAACCGCACCTACAGTGTTAGAGAAGCTTCAAGGCTCTAGTAGATCATTTTGTTAAGATTACGCCCACTTCGTTAACCTTTCAGATTATTCTGGAACCTACGTTGCCGTTAGCAATAATACTAGAATATTCGATGGCAAGGGTATAAATGCCGACACGATTCGCCACTTGTCAGTTCATCGACGGCCGACGCTCTGTTCGCCTGCTATCAGTGCCAGTGTCTTGATGTCCTTTAGCGTGGCGACAAGTTCGGCCCAAATAAACAGTTTCTTCTTTAACATGAAATCTGCTCCCTTTGTTCACGTCACGACCCCGCGACATCTGGTGGAGGTGCTGCTTCGTTCATGTACCGGACACCCCTGTCAAGCCATGAACCGAGCCCACGTCGTGAGCCGAGCACCGAACAAGCCACAGGCAGCAAGGTTTACCTCCGGAGTACGGGCCTCTACAAGACAAGGCTCGGAAGACCAAGGCCATGACCTTGACCGCGGCAACGATGACGACTGCTGCGCCACAGCCCGCAATCGTGATGCAGCCACCGAGGGAACCACTGATTTTCCAAGGGTCATCGTTTGAAGTCCCGGAGACCTGGCTAGAGAGCTATGACCGAGTGGTGGCACTCGCAAAGAAGAGGCTGCTGCGGTGCTGGAGACATGGGTGCAGCTGCCCAATGAAAATGTCACCATTTTCACGGAAGAAATGAACCACCTTTTCGCGCACGCTGACCCCAACATATCCGAGGAGAAGAAGATCCGTCTGCTCATGCGAGGAGTCAAGCAAGAACTCTTTGCTGGGCAGACCAGGAACCCTCCAAAGACGGTCGCCAAATTCAATTCCGAAACATCTACGACAAAGAAGACGCTCGAAATGCGGACACGGCAATACAACTGTAGCTTCTCGTCTAAGGCTACGCCGACATCCAAGTGCTAGAAACCACCAACTTGCATGAGACGATCCTAGCGATCGTGCAAGAACAGCTACGAAAATTGCTTCCTTCAGCGAACCCTCACGTGGACTTCATAGTGGACGTCGTAAGCCAGGAGATCCAGCAATCACTGAGCATTTCTCAGTCTCCCGAGCCGCAGCTGCAAGTAATGAGCTTTGCTGCTGCAGCCCGCCGTCACCCCCCTCCTCCACGCCCATGCCAGGATGCCGCTCCGTCGCACTTCCGTCGCCAGACGCTACCGCCGCAACTATCACCACCGACGTCCTGACGTTCCCCAGCGGGACAGCGCACCGATATTCACCAGCGGGAAAACCGATGTTTGGCGTGCACCTAACAACCGCTCGCTTTGCTACCACTGCGGCGAGGCCGGGCACACCTACCGTCGTTGCCAGTACCGACATAATGGTCTACGGGGCTTCAGCATCAACACACCATGTCCCCAATGCGACACCTGAGATCTGAGTCAATCACACTAAGCTCAGAAAACATGCTATGAAACACTACAACACCGAGGAATCACGCATTGAACGTGCTAAAAGAGCAGGTGACCGTGCCACCTTTCTCCAGCGTCGTCATTTCCGTTGGCAGCGAAAAGGCCAAAAGCCTTGAAGTGTCGTCGAGGGTTATCAGCAGCTTCTTCTAAACCGTAATATTTGCGTCGAAAGAGGTATGGCTGCGCTGCGTGACGGCAAAGCAAACGTGGTGCTGACAAACTTCAACCACGAATACAGGCACCTCAACCGTGGTAAGACGGTCGCCTACATCGATGAATTCATGGAGACCAGGAATTGATTCGCTCTTTTCGATGCTGCCTACGCTGCTTCGATGAATCGAGGACCCCAATCAAATTTCGACGCCAGCCTGAGTCTTTCGAAGTGCAAGCAACACCAGCTCAAGTCCCTGCTCTTGCGATTCAAGGACTGCTTCTCGTCATCGAGAATTCAACAAACCCCAGTCACGAAACATTGCATCATAACAGAAGAAAGTGCCCGACCAGTTCAACAAAGCCCGTGCCAAGTCCCGACGCACGAACGCGACACCGGGAAAAAACAAGTCGACAAAATGCTACGTGACAACATCATTCAGCCGTCCAAGAGTCCGTGGGCGTCACCCGAAAGTATTAGTGAAGCAGAAGAGCGGGACCCTCCTACGTTTTCACATCGATGACCACTGCCTGAACAAAATCACAAAGAAGGAGGACGCGTACCCTTTTCCACGTATAGACGGTCCCCTAAACCGACTCAACAACGCGAAATACCCTTCTTCGATGGATCTCAAGACGAGCTATTGGCATATTGAGATTGATCGAGAGAAGACGGTCTTTATAACACCAGATGGCGTCTCTCATAATCATATAGTGGTTTTGGGACGTTAAACCCCACATATCAATCAACTATAACACCAGATGGCCTCTTCGAGTTTAAGGTCATGCCATTTGGTCTTTGCTCAGCACCTGTGACTTTCAGCACGTTATGGGCACCGTGCTGGCTGGATATTGAAATGGCAGACTTGCCTCGTGTACTTGGATGACGCCAACGTGTTTTCCTCGAGCTTCAACGAGCATCTCCAGCGCCTTGAAGAGGTACTTTGACCTATCAACAACTCTGGACTAACCCTGAAGCCAGAAAAGGGCTGCTTTACATACAAGGAGCTGTTGTTCCTAGGACATGTGATTAGCAAGTCTGGAGCCCGTCTCGACCTACGGAAAACATACGCCATCGGTGATTTCCCGCAGCCCACTGACAAGAAGGCTGTACACTGATTTCTCGGATTGTGCGCCTATTACACGCGTTTTGTCAAACGTTTTTCACAGATCACCGCGCCGCTAACTCACCTCACAAAAAGCAACGTCGTATTCAGGTGGGAAGCGGCACAACAGGAAGCATTTCAGGAACTTAAACGGCACCTTTAGACACCACCGACACTTGCGCATTTCGACGAACATGCCATAACAGAAGTACACATCAACGCAAGCAGCGTAGGACTCGGCCCCGTCCTTGCGCAGAGGACTGACTGCATGAAAAGAGTTATCAGTTATGCTAGCTGGTCGCTATCCAAAGTCGAAGCCAACTATTTCACAACAGAAAAGGAGTGCCTTGTCATCATATGGGCAGCGTCAAAGTTTCGCCCCTATCTCTACGGCAGGCCTTTCAAAGTTGTGAGAGACCACCATGCCTTGTGTTATCTAGCTAACTTGAAAGATCCTTCGGGTTGCCTCGTACGGTGAAGCCTCAGGCTTCAAGAATTCGACGTGACCGTCGTTTACAAATCTGGAAGAAAACACTCCGACGCCGACTGCTTGTATCATGCCCCGGTCGAATTACCGCCGCCTGACGGCCTGGATGAGGACAGCTTCTTAGGAACAATAACTGCCGACAACGTGCCGAGCAACAGCAAGCTGATCTGGAACTCAGAAGCCTTGTGGAATACCTCGAGGGCAGCAGTACGAATGTTCTGAATGTTTTCAAGAGAGGACAGGAGTCGTTCTTCTTGTGAAACAGAGTTTTCTTAAAGAACTTCTCGCCTTTTCGAGCCGACCACCTCCTCGTAGTTACGTCAGCGGCGAGACCAGAAGTACTTGAGGCCCTACACGACGACCCGACGACAGGAAAACTCGGTGTTTCCCGCACGCTTGCGAGGATACAAGAAAGGTACTACTGGCCAGGCCTTACCACCGATGTCGATTGCTACGTGACGACTTGCTGAGACTGTCAGCGATGCAAAACACCACAGACAAGGCCAGCATGCTTTCTTCAGCCAATCGAACCACCTCGCCGACCGTTACAACAAATTGGGATGGCCATACTGAGGCCCTTTCCGACGTCGAATTGCGGAAACAAATGAATCCTCGTAGCTACTGACTACCCACGAAGCCAAGACAAAAGCCCTGCCCAAAGGTAGTGCATCTGAGGTAGCCAAATTCTTCATCGAAAACATTGTCTTGCGTCACGGTGCTCCGGAGGTCCTCATCACCGACAGTGGTATGGTATTAACCGCTGAGCTAACCAAAGCGATTTTAGCATACAGCCAGGCAAGCCACTGCCATACGACAGCATACCACACACAGACCAATAGACTCACCGAGCACCTAAACAAGACCATCACCGACATGCTGGCCATGTACGTCGATGTCGAACACAAAATGTGGGATGAAATCCTTCCCTATGCGACCACCGTATACAACACCGTCGTATAAGAAATGACGCAGATCACGCCGTATAAGTTGGTCTATGGAAGGACCCCGGCAACGACGCTCGACGCCATGTTACCCAATGTCACCGACAAAGAAGACCTCGATGTGAGCGAGTACCTTCAGCACTGAAGAGGTTCGACAAAGTCCCCACCTCCGCATCAAGAACCAACAGACGACGGATTGCCGCCATTACAATCTTCAACGCCGCTTCCCGGAATACCAGCCCGGTGAACGTGTTTGTGTATGGACGCCGATAAGCCAACGTGGACTGAGTGAAAAACTTCTGCGACGGTTTTTGGACCATACAGCATAACTCGACGTCTCGGCCTACTCGATTACGAGGTTGTCCTCAACGGCATCACAAACTCTCAACAACACTGATCGCGACCTAAAGTCGTCCATGTCGCGCGCTTTCATGCGCGTTAATGATCTCCAACAGTTATTGCTGTATCGCAACTTATTGCTTGTTCTTTCTTGCATTATTTTTTGTATTTTCATCTTCTGTTAAAGCATCGGGACGATACCTTTTTCAGAGTGGGGCAATGCCATGTTCCTTTCCTCAACTTTCGTTATCGTACCGTTACACTATCTTCAGCGCAAACCACGCCTACGGTGTTAGAGAAGCTTTGAGGTTGTAGTAGATCGTTTTGTTAAGATTATGCCCACTTCGTGAACCTTTCAGATTATTGTGAAACCTACGTCTCTGGTAGCTTTATTGCAAGATTGTTCGATGGCAAGTGTATAAATGCCGACACGCTTCGCCGCTTGCCAGTTGATCCAAGGCCGACGCTCTGTTCGCCACTATCAGTGCGGGTGTCTTACTTTCCTTTTGCGTGGACACAAGTTCAGCCTGAATAAACAGTTTCTTCTTTGACGTGAAGTCTGCTCCCTTCGTTCACGTCACGACCCCGCGACAATAGCAACAAAGTATGCGGCTAGGTTTAGATCACTCATCATTTCATAGTATAATACAATAATTGTTGACGTCTCAAAAACACCACATCATCATGAGAAACACCGTAGTGGAGGGCTTCGGAAATTTTGACCACCTGGGGTTCTTTAAGGTGCACCTAAATCGAAGCACACGGGCCTCGCACATTTTCGGCTTCATTGAAAATGCGGCCACCAATCGTTCTTGGTGCAGTTCCCAAATGGTACACCACTATGGTGCATTTTAAAGCAAGGATCCTGTGAAATGCCATGAAACATTCAAAATAAATGAAAAGTCACAGTTTCGCCACAAAGGCGAACCAATGAGTGCAATAGCAACAACTTGGAATGTAACCCTGAGAACGGCAAGCAGATCGAAACATGCAGCATGCTGTTCACGCAAAAATGTCATTAAAAAACAACATACACAAGGCAAGAGCGAAATAACAATGTTTACCGCATGAAACTTAACGTACTGTTTAAACAAAAACGATGCACAAAACGTAATCACAAGTACAAATGAGTGCAAACTAACAAGCGTCCCAGTTGTTATAGTACTTCGCTGTGTATGAAAAGCGCACTATTTTCACAAACAGAGCCTGTGCAGCGAGCAAAGTGACCTTTGTGGACCCAGCAACTAACGAAATCGTTTGGGTGAAAGTCGAAAGCACACAATTTTCCTCACCTAAGGATAAGCGCGCATGCACTAGCATCTAACCACCACCCCCCCCATTCACAGGGCAAAGTATGCGTGGGAGATAAGCGCATATCTGTGCATGAACCCATGCTTATCTCCTACGCATCCAAGAGCTGAGCGCCGAGTGCAGGTGTCTTTTTTTTTCTTTCTCGAGTTTTCATATATTTAGATACCTATACAATGAATGACAGCAGTGGTGACGGCAAAAACCAGCTAAGACTGTCTATATAATCACTATGGTAATAAAAGCCTTCAGGCTTTCCTGTTAGGCTTCGAGAGCTTCTCTTACTCTCTTGTTTTATACAACACAAACAAGTAGCAGACAACAATGCCAAAGAAAGTATAGGGGTATCATTAGAAGTAACTCTGATAACATACCTTTGGACATCTTAGTTCTCATTTATATTGGGTCTATATAAGACAAAAGAGCTCCTAAACTTGCAATTCTTTCCTCCCTTGTTCAATGTGCTTTATTTAGCACATTGTTTTCGACATGTTCCATGGGTTTCCCTATCGAATAATGAAGGCCCAAAATACTGCGTATTCTTGCATATAACCCACCCCTGCATGTAACCCACACTTTCAACTTTAACCCCGGAAAAATTTTAAAATGCATATAACTTCTGCATATACCTGCACTCCAATTTTTAAACAATAAAAAAGGCACATTTTCCCAATTTTTAGTGCAGGTTACATGTAAACAAATAAAGCTAGTCTGAATTATAACCTAGGGTATGATGATTAGAGGCTGGATTTTTAGGCACTAAATAAGTGTGTTTTAGGCGCCAAAGACAGGCAGGTAAAACACTGTTTTAGGCCCCCAAATTCAAGATTATAAGCACAATAAACTTCTACAAAAATTAAAATATACCAATACAACGACGTCGGTGACTTGTATCAACTGGCAAGAAGCAAGAAATGATATTGTTTAAGACTGCAGAAAAGTACCAATGATTGAACATGGGCATGCATTTTTCCGCGCTATTCGCAGTATGTGGTCTTTCGTTTATTGTCTAGCATTGTGCGTCAAGTGTCCACCCTTCAATTAACACTCTCTTGGGTCTCTTTCGTTTAGTTGCGGCTGAGAAGGGCAGCGCAGGAGCAAATAAACAGACCACTGATACCCCAGAAGAGAGGATGCTAGGTCTAATCGTGTAGGACCAATTTCTCCCCTATCGGTAAACACCTTAAAGGGTCCCTCACCAGGTTCGGGCATTTTGAGCTGACAAGTGTAATTGTGCACTGGGCACTCCGGATCATTCCTGTTATTTTGCAAAATTACATGTCGTGGAAAAACGCTCAATTTCCAATGAATGCCTTACCCTTCTCGCCTGTGTGCGCCCCAATATTTAGGGAGTGACGTACAGCAACGAACGCCACTCTTTTATGTTCAAATTGGTGGGCTGACGTCGCATACCATACGTTCTTCATCAGAACTTCCGTTAAATGCTAGTCATATCTAGAAAAACTGATGAAAGATGTCCCGTCTTCTGATTGTATCCTGCATTTTAAACGGTACCTCATTAAGGGCGTTGCATGTGACATTACTCTACTTGGCATGTGCAATTTGTGTGTTCTGTTGTGTAGTATGAATGAAGAGTACTTTGGTTTGGGCTGGCTGCTTCATATCACTTTGAAAGAGAAGCACAAAGACAACGGGAAAAGAAAGATGGCGCTCTTTGTCTCTATTTTTCTTTTCCCTGTGTCTTTGCACTGCCCTTTCAAAATCAGTGTAATGATTGAAAGCTGAAAAAAATAATGAAACATGCAAACGGAATCAGAGCTTGTTGTTATTTTTATTTTTGTTTTGAATAGCCTCGAAGTGCTATTCACTAATCGGTCCTCATTTCGCCTCCACTTCGGTGGACCAGTGGCTATAGGTGCTCCCCTGCTGACCCTAACGCCGCGGATTCGAATGTGTGTCGTGGCGGTCACATGTATATGGAGGTGAGGAAGTAGATGCCAGTGTTCTGCCCAATGTCAGCATCTTATGGTAGTTTGATGATGATCATCATTTCTGCTTGCACTACCTCGCATCCAAAAATTTTTGCAGATAAAATTTCCCTCGGATGACAATGAAGATATGCTTGAATCTGTCCCTGCATTTCACACAGTTAAATCACATCAGCCTAGTGCTAGCAACTTTTTATAAGTTTTATTAAATAAAATCACAATAGCTTTTATCAGTTGTTCCCGATTGCCCTACTTAGCCTGCTCGTTACAAAATTTAAAAGGCCATCATCAAGATGGCGTATATTCATCAGGAGCACCACTTACCTCGAGTGTGAACGAGAGCACAATGTCCAGTTTTGACAAGGTCGTCTCAGTGTCCTCTGCCAGACCTTCTTTCGAAAGGGAGGCCTGGCTCCTGCGACAGGGGCACCCAGGTTAGTCCACACTTTCGTAGTACGAATAAAAGCTAGGTACACTTGCTGCAAGTGCTGCTGAGCTGTGTGTGTGTCCTCTTTCACCCTGAGTCACGCTTTACAGCATAATTAAAGAGTAGCATGTAGATATAGCAGTGGCAAGGTGCATTTGAGCTGACGTTGTATTACATACACCTTTCCAGCACCTGTTACGGCCCGCACCACTGCTCGGCATTGAACTGCATATCCATTATGCATTTTTTGATGATTCATGATAATAAAAGACACGCAGTGCACATGGAATGCTTTCAAGTTGTTGTTAGCATGCAGCAATAAAAACAAATCACTCAATCAAAAGCTTTATAAAAACTCGTCTGAGCAAAGTTTACATTCTACTTGCCTAACATGTAAAATTAGAGTGCATGGCCTCCATTCATAAAAAATTGCCCGCAAAATGTCAAGCATCACAAGATAAACACAAGCATTTGATTGAATTCAGGCAAAAAACTGAATTTTCGAGAGTGAAAAGCACTAACACTCAACTGTCACAATAATTGCTATACAGGGCTACACAATCATGTGATCCAAGATGCAATAACATTTATGCATGCAGGCAAGCCAGCTCGTGACAGCATACCAACGATGTTTTGCCTCGGAATGTTTTATCAATGATTGACTTACAGCTTCGCGACAGTGCTACAAGCATGCTAAATTTTAAATTCACATGTAACACTTCTTGTGTACCTGTGCTTTCAAAGTTCAATGATGTGAAAGCTGATGGTTTCGTTACCCATTAAAATCTAGCATGTGTATCCTATCCACAGAAGATGTACAATGCAATGTCCAAACCTCCTAAGTAAGTGTACGGTACTCACAGAAAAAAACTAAAAAATTTAGGGTCGGTAATACTTATATTTTGGCATCCAGCACCTACAGTCTGCATAATATTTGCATAACTTTAACTCGAAACATCAAAGCCAGCATTGCCTTTAAAGACCACACTCACAGTGACTTCGACACTGATGTCACAAGCAACTGCTCACAGCAGTCGACCGACTACAAAAAGGTTTGACAGCGTTCCAATCTATGAATACTGTACACAGCAGACATGTGCCTCATCAGTCTTTGCCACATGTGATGAAGTTAGCAGAGAGCAATATGGAAGCACAGCGCATGTGACATTCACTCAGTTTTTTTTTTTTAGTCCTAGGCAAAATGACCGAGGTAGCAGCCCAGTAATGAGGCACATGGCAAAAAAGAGACAAGGTGAAAAATTCCTTTACCTCGAATCCCTATCCTCAACCTGGGATCACCAAAGGAATCTTGTGTATGTTGTTCTTCTGATCGCATCAGTTTTGAGTGACATTATTCTCGCACAAAACAACAGTAGTGCAATGTCGACTTCCTAACTCTGGTGCACTATAAATTCGGACAGGTTTTTTCCATCACCTTGCTTATGAAAACTTCCTTCAAGTCTTCTGTGGTGCAGGTAGGTGCCTTTACACAGTGTTTACAAACCTTGAAAGTCCTCCGCAAATCACCAGAAAAAAACTCGCTACATATGACGCACATTTGACACACATAGGACTACATGTGATGCTACACTAACACTATATGTGAATTTAAAGCTCTAACACAACATATGACTGGGCTCTGTGCAGTCATGTAGTGTTAGATCTTTAAATTAACCAGTTTTAATATTAAACTTTAGAGAGCCGAGGTGGCAATAAAAAAAGTGGCAGATTTTATTGTTTTTGCTTCTTATTTCTTGGGAACACAGAATTGTCATACAGAGCTTTGAAAGATTGCCAGCTATCTGTTCGACCTCCACGATCATACACAGCACATGCATGTATAGGTAATTAAGGAACCCAATGCACTGTGTCCCATGACAGCCAGCACTAATTGCCTTTTCCAAGTTTTTTCGTAACAAACCGGTTGACAGTGGCGAACATTGCTTAACGGGCACTCTGCACATGATAGAAGGAAGCCACAAAATTTTAGAACTCATGTCCTTTTTTTTTTTTTCGTAGTGAAGTCTGTGCTTTTTGATTAGATTGGATGACAGTGCCCACATAGCAGGTGGCCAAAGCAGCCTCTATTTCTTGCTAATATTTACGTAAATGAAAACAACTTGAGGCTAGTCAGCCATCTTGGCACAAAGTGGTTAAATTTCAACAAGTTTTCCAGTTCTGGGATAAAAATAAGGAATCGTATAAAATGAACGTGCAGCACACTGAGAGATTGTAATTAGCTCTCACCTTTAGTCTGCATGTAGCAAAGTTAGTTTCCTCAAACCACTCGCACGCTTTCTGCAGCCATGGAAGAGGTGCCACACAGTGTGTCGCACCGAGTTACAGCAGGCAAAGGCTGCATTATATTTTGCACCCAACAAGCTCTCCAGCCTTTTTTGATACGAAGCACAGGAATTCATTCATTCCATATGGCAAAGGAGTTGTCTATTTTTTCTCGCCATCATGTGGGAAGAAATACATGGCATCTAAATATTAGCTTTAAAAATACTTCCACTGGTCACCTAAGTCAGCACTGTAGAAGCTGTGGGCTTTCACTGGGTAAGAGCATCGTCAGTGGCACTAGTAACTAAATAATCCCCCTCGGAAATGTTTGAGGCAGTCTAAGTAGGGTGAACTGATTGTTATGAAAAACATGTGGCAGTGTCGCTTGGGTAGCCTTTGACGTGTAACATCCTTCGTTCATTTTGCTTTGATGGCAGCACTTGGTGACCCGGACCGTTCTTGTTGGAAGCCTTCACTCCATGTGCTTCACTCACATGCTGTCACCTTTGCCACGAATCAATACAAAACACATGCCCGTGTCCTAGGAGCCACAAAATATAGCACTGAACCCAACAGGACGACGTAATGTTTATTGCCACACCCGCTTACTTACATAACCCGAGGAAAGGCATGACATGACCATATGATTAATTTCTTAGAAAAGAAAGTTCACTTAGACGAAGCACATAAAATGGCCGGTGTGGATGATAGCGATTTATAGTAAATACTACAGCTGCACACTGCTCTCTAAAGGGACACTAGAGCCAACTATTAAGTCAACGTTGATTGTTGAAATGACAGTCCAGAAACTTTGTAGCGTTACTTTCGTGCCAAGGAAGGGCTTATTTTGAAATAAAATCACGTTTGAGTGCTCCGCATCGGGTTAGCACACTTCAAATTACCCACCTCAAGAAGCGGACCGACCGGACCGACTCACGTCACTGTTGCCATGCACAACGTTGCCCGGCTTTACTGCGCTAGTAGCAGCAGACCGGAAGTAGCAGGAGCCACAGCAGCAACAACGTCCGTTGATCAATTTCCCGCCATTGGCTTAGAGATTGCAGACGCTTTTGTTTCAACTGCACCCCGGTAGATGGCACTACCTGTTCCGTGCAACCGCACGAAATTGAATTTTTGAACCACTCGCACCATTCCCCATAGTAACGTCTGGCGGTTCTTTTTTTTTCTATGAATCAAACATAAATGAACAAGCAGCATTTTATTGCATCTCTTGATGCATGGAAGGTTCTTTATTTAGTGCAGTTAGATCGATTATTAGAGATTAATTGTAGGCGGCCCATCTGATATCATCAGGATCATTTTGAAAGTGTCCTACTGCGGTGCTTATGTTCTTGTGCATGTACCTTAATTTCTCGGTAAGTAGGGCACTGTTGTTGAAAATATTGTCATTTTAGATCTTGTCATACATTGAGCTTTCACTCTGACGTAAATTGTTATTTGACTTTAGTGTCCCTTTAATGCATGTACAAAAATCAAGATGATATATGACGTGCTTACAAGGATGTATATGCGGTCACGGACCAAGTCAAGGTAAAAAACACCGAGACGTTTCGGAACCCATACGGATTCCCTGTTCAGGCAAGAGCTGTATGTCGCTTTTTATGCTAAAATGTGACTTGATGAAAGGGTGTAGCTGGCAGGTACATTTCCGTCTGTCCTGTTGATAGTGTTCTCAATCGCCTGGATAAAAGCAGATTCCAAAAGTAGTCTCGTGGTCTAATTCTTTTCCTTGGCTATAATAGCAGCGTTGCCCCAATCGATAAAATGACTGCGATTATAGGCCAGCTCGGCCAAGGCGTTTGACGCTTTCTTCTTGTTGCCCACGTCCTTTGGGTGCTCTTTTAATCTCAGTGAAGTTGCCAGTTGCACGAATGTTACTGCAGCTGCAGTCCGCGCATGTCACCTTGTAGACAACACCGGGTTATCGCTTGCTGTCTAGGTGATCCTTCACGTTCACAAGCCAATTCCTAAGCTTGTCTTATGGCATGTGCACAACGCAAAAGTCCATATCTTGAAAAGATACGGTTTAGTGCTTTGCTGACCCCAGGAACATACGGAATGTCAGCGGGTCTTCAAAACGACCCACCCTGGGATGGCTTGGGATGGAGGGCACAATCTTATTAATAAAACTTTTTGGGTACCTATTTGTCATTAGTTCTCGGTGTACTGTTTGGCGCTCTTTCGTCATTACATCGACACTTGAGCACACCAGAGAAGAGACAGCGGATTGTAAAAGAACTTGTTGTTGGGCTAGCTGGTACAACATTTCTAAAAGTTAATTCGAGTGCGAACACATGACACAATCATTCACACACGCACCCACTCAGGTATCAAACACACACAGCACTCACTTCCAACTGATTCATTCATAGCTCGAAGGCTTAAATATATACAAGACACATGTGCGCACTAACACCATAGAAGGCCAACAGCATACATTATCAATACGTACAGTTTGTCAATGTCATTGCCTCAGAGCGATAAACTGGAATTCGCTTGGTAACAACGATAGCGAAGGGGCGCTTACACAGTGATCTTTAATTTTTTCAATGAAAAAGGCCTCTAACACTTCACGTGCAGTTTTACTTGCGCTTCTGCATAGAATTTTCGTCTCAGAGAATCATGTGTCACAACCACATGAGATGACATGCGCAACCAGGTGCGCATACTTGTCATCTCGTTTTGTTCATTTCTGAGCGCGTTCCCTTAATCGTCATTAATATACCGCTCGGTTTGGCCAATGTTCACTTTTCCGCAGGATAAGGGTACAGAGTACACGACCCTCGTAAAACACTTGACAAAGGCCCTCTCATGTTTCTTCTCGCAGCCGCACTTCTTCCTATCGCACACACGTTGGCATAGTCTTCCTATTTTTTCGGGTGCGAAAAACACCATCGGTACGCCGTGCCTGGCCGCGACTCTCTTGAGATTGTGTGAGAACTTATGGATATATGGCACAACTTGTGGCCTAATTTTTAAGGGCTGGGTAGCAGTCATTGCTTCCCGTGTTCCGCATTTAAACTTCTGCCGAAGTGATTCAGCAATGACCGTAATGACCGATCGAGAAAACCCAGCAGCCCGATTGTGATCGTGTCATGTGTTCGCATTTTTTTAGAAACAATGAATTGTTTGTGGCAGGCTGGGTGGCACGATTTGAAATTCAGGTAGTATCCGGTATGTGTTGCTTTCCTGTGCGCAGCAAACGAAAGACCAGTTCAGGTACAGCATCGAGAAAAAAGAGCCTGCCGTCACGTTCATATTTTCTAGTACACTGCATAGAGTTGAGAAAACGTAGGAGCCGTGGGGTGTCATTTTTCTTGACAATGCAGAGGCATAGCAAACAAATATCTCGGGCTTGGGAGCAAAGTCGGCGTGTGCCTTCTGTTCAGTGACCTCCATGACCAAATTTGCCGTAGTAATAGAGACGGAAGCCCCTCATGGCAGTTCCGTGGTAACTGAAGCATGTGCTGTTTAAACAAAATTCTATTACCTCGCAGAAGCCCACTACCTCCAAAAGTGTGCACTCCGTGCAAGTTTCGTCCGCCAACAGGACATCTTGGCGTGTTGCTACGGCCAAGTCGACAGGGATTGAAGCACAGAGCGATGTAACATCGAAGGAAACCATTATGTCGTCTTTGTCAATGGCAATGCCGCGCACTCTTTCCACAAAAGCTGAGGCATTGGCAATGTGTGCAGCTGTTTTTCCAGCAAGTGGGCTTAACACTTCGTGAAGGTAACCCGAAAGTCGGTGCAGTGGTGACCATGTAAAGTTGACAATGGGCCATAGCACAATTCCTGGTTTGTGTATATTATGTAGACCATAAATTGCGGGTGCAGATACGTTAGTGCACAGAAAAGATTATTACGCGAGTAAAGATGCTTCTGCTGAGGCGATATGAATTGGAAAATATTCTAGAGTACCTTCTGCAGTTTGGTTTGAAGGCTTGTCGTGGGATCTTTCCGTATCGCCACGTATCTGATCGTACTCACTTTTTTTTAGTATCATGACTGCGTCTTCCTTGTCCGCAGGAAGTATGGCAATAGAGGTATTGTTTCAAAGGTCCTTGATGGCTTCTTTCTCAGTCGGTGAAGACCGGGCCCGAGAGTTGTGTAACGCCACTTCGACAGAACACCGATAGCGTGTGCGCAAGCTTCGTCCCTTACATTGGGAGGAAGCTGTGTGGCAGCTCGCTCCAACGTGCAAGTAACTACGGGAGCTTCCTCTCGAAGGAAGGGAGAAAACTTGTGCCCCCTATTCACCGACTGAGAAAGAAGTTAAAAACTTCTCATGTATCAGAAGTATCTCATGCAAATCTAAGGTGCTGCTACATAGGATTCATGGGGTCAGAATAACATACACTAAAATTTCAATATAACGAACACAAATAATATACCAATTCATCGGTTATAACGAGGTCAATGAAGAACAGTCTTGTCATCGATACAGTGTTACTGATAAGTGTTTATAATGAATTTTCAAATATAACCAATACTAGTGAGATCTAACAAACAGTAATGCCAAGGAAAGTATAGGGGATGTTATATATGAGGTAATTGTAATGTAAATGTGAAGAAATAAAAGTGGATGAGAAGATAACTTGCCGTGGGCAGGGACCAAACCTGCGACCTTCGGATAATGTTCTACCGACTGAGCTACCACGGTGGCTATCCCCTCATCCACTTTATAGGGTTTATATGTGCATTAAACATGGGAGGAGTGTCAGTCAGCGCCAGCCGCAGCCATGGCTGCGAGCGTAGAACACTTTTTATCAGCCTGTTTATCAGCCAAACAGGCGGTACACTGAATATAACCAAGTTATTTTTGTGGCAGATACGACTCTTATACTGCAGAAGGATTGAAAGCTGTGCCAGGTGGCGACAGTACTTGAACATATTTTAACTCAGCGCACGAGTACTTGGAGATAAGAGAAAAAGAGAAAAACCCTTCTGAAGGTTCAAGTGTTTCTTTTTTTTTTGTTCATGTTTTCCAACAAAAATTCAGTTGCGAGTCAGCACTGTGGTTTGTCCCTTCTTCTCTTGTGTCTGCGTAGTCGTGCGCTGAGTTAAAATATGGTCAAGTGACTGTTATACTGATGTTTCAGTGTGTGCCGTGCTGCCTATCCTATTTTGATACACTGACTAATGCCTACGTTCAATTGGCCACATCTGAATGACCTTGGCAGAAGCTGGCTTGCCAGAGTAAAATAAATAATAAAAAATTAAAAACGGACAGGAGGAGGCATGCATACGTAGCAGAACATGCAAGCAGCACAGCATCATAGACGACCATCCAGAGCGGTGCCTGCAGGTACTTCGTCAAGCAGTCACGCATCACTTCCACCTGGGTTGCGCTGCACACAATCAAGCAAGGCAAGCAAAATCAAAGCACATTCCATGGCGCAAAAACTTTTATATGATGGCTAAAGCAAGCATACAAACTTGGCTTAATGTCGTACATGTGAGTGATTATCCAGAAATATGTGATTGTCGGCAGGCAAACAGGTCGCAGCAATGTTCATTTACACACGGCCCTGTGTCTCATTGCACATGCATGCCTTTGCAGAGAACTCTCAGAAAGATTCTACCTGCCTTAGGACTGAAGACCTTCGATGACTGCTCATCAAGAGTTGAGCAATAAGAGAGAGAGAAAAGTGCGCGCCAATTAATTGTTGAGGGGGTGCTACTTTTGATGCATTTCCATTTTTCTAATAAGATTTGTTCAAACTTGCATGAAATATTGACCCCATCAGAGGCAGTGTTCAATGATGTCGATCCATGTCGTTTGCAGTGAAGAAGGAACACGAGACCTATACTGTGAGTGCCTTCGCTGCATTCTCAAAAATTGTTAGTTTTTTTAGCTGTTCAATTCAGTAAAGCTTTGACAGGCTAGCTGGTTCACAGCTTTTCAAAATTATTAAACTTCACCAAGAGACATGCAAACGCAGAAGTAAGAAACACCACACATGCATAACTGTACATTTCTGGTCAGAAAAAAACAATAAGGACCCTGGATACATGGCCAAGCTGTGAACCTTGCATGTGCTGATAAATATAAGAACACTGCTATAAAAGGCCAAGATAGCGGCCACACAAACACCCCAAATTGTGAGACCAATCTCATTTATCTTTGCGCATGTGAGATATCTATATCGTCCCTCAACGACATTCTGCTTTCAGAATTTACAGGACGCTTTTTTCTGCCATCATCTTTTCCTCTGCATGTGTTACAATGCTGAGCCAAAGTGCCTCCATTGCACACCTCTGTTGTTCCCTTCTTCTTCCCATCTGTTCAATGTACAAGCCTCTAGAGAACTGAACACCCCACATGACAAACATGCTCTGTATAATTTGCTTCTTGAAAACCACTTACTGCTTTCTCTAACTTCTGCTCTAACTTTTCTTTACAGGTAAAGCAAAACTTTCATCTCATCATTCTGAGAATTCTCGTTTCATGACTTTCAGTTTCCATAACAGACACATGTCCCAATAAGCTATAAGGGTAACCAGATGAAAGAAAATGCCTAACTTGATTATTGAAGCTGGTTTCTACTCTATGTTCATATGATTTATCAAGTGCAGACTTGCAAGCTTCTGTTACATTTGCCCTCCTGAAGGAACCATGACACCAAATTTTCATTCATACAGGGGTGCAACAGCCGAAATAGAATTTGGAGCAGGTTACGGAGAAAAAAAACTCATTCATTTTTTATCAAGAAAGACCAAATCACGAACAGCATAAAAAAGAAGTATGTACAGAGAAAAAAAATAAGTGGAAACGATTTAACATCACCTAAGTCATGCAGAGTGAATATTAGCACTGCTATACCACCTCACTCAGCAAAACAATGATAAAGTCAACATGGCCATTTCCCACGCTTGTCAAACCCTTTGACAGACTCGGGAGATTCGTAAAACTGAGGAAAAACTGGCGCATAGTTTTATTTGACTTCTTAGGGCTGCAGAAATATCATACAATGCTCCAAATGATTGCCAGTAACTTTTTTAGACATTTTCACTGTTAATTAGGCTCGTTGGTCATTGCTCACAAATTCGCACCCTTTGCTGTACTTTTTTTTAAAGAAGATCTTTCTTGGGGACCCTCGAGGAAAAACTTTGGTTTGTCTGTCTGTCTGTCCATTTGTCACTTTGTTCACCCTTAATGGTACTAGGCACTCTAAATGGCACCAGCGGATACCCTAAACGGCCGACTCCATCAGCAGCGCCCACAGATGTTGCTCAAGGTTGAGCGTTCATACTTGTGTGATTGTCAATTAAAAAGAAATTATCGCACACATCTGAGGCACCATAACAACACGTATATATTCTGTATGTGCGTCTTTTACTAAAAAAGGCATACATAAGTTATTCTAAGGGCCTTAGCGTTGATCACTCAGCGCTGACCATGTAACGCTTGCACGAAAAGGGAAGTGTTTCCTACGCTTTGCTAAGATGACACGGTGGTGGCACCTACCCGTCGCCTTGCGTTCTATACCTTATCACCTCTCAGACGGGCGTGCACGCCCGTCTTAGAGCTACACGCTTCGTTTTCTAAGATAACTGCTACATAGCGCTCATGTCTCACGTGTGACATGACTTGGTGCGCTCGTTTGCCTCCGCTGCGCGCTCGAGGCACTCAAACGCAGCGCCTCCAGAATACCATTCACCGATTTTCTTGCGCAGAACATCAAATAAACATTTTGTGCAATCTCTCCAGACGCAAGACTATAGTCTTTCGACGACATTTGCAGATTAACATGCAGATACAGGGCCATTTTTTTTTTGTAATTACCCCATTCATGTTGCCATGGGGACCTCCTATGGCAACAGTTGCTCTGAAACTTTGATACCTCCTTCTGTTCTATTATAACCATGTAACCAAATCTGAAATATGTAATAAACTTGACTTGATCATATCTCTACTCACAAGTATGTGGCATATACACGTATCAGTAACTGAAGAAACTGTGATGTGTCCTGTGACTAGTGCTAACAGCCCCTTCCAAATCTCATAACGCTTTTCCGCAGGCCACCGATGTATAGGTGAAGGTGACTTCAGTGGCATTCTGCACAAGTTAGAACAAGGCCAAAAAACTTCGAACCACTACACTTCCCCCCCTTTCTTTTCGCCATGGGGTTAAGTTTTGGGCACAACTTCTCGGCTCACTTGCAAGGCGCGTTTGACTAGATATCTATCGGATATCTAGCACAAGATACTTATCGCATGCGCCGTCGCTATGGCAACTATGTGGCCGCTAAACGCTGGCGTTTGCCGCACATCCGAGTTGGTTCGAGTGCCTAACAGCGGCATATGCATCCAGCTTCAGTTTTTAACATGCCATAGGCACGCTTGCTGACTAGGAAACTCGTATTTCTCGCAACATGTTGCTGGCTACAGCAATGCACTTTTGTCTTGAAGTTGTGTCGTCACGTCGACAGATATCTGCTACGATCACCGGACCGATGGGCCCGCGGCATTGTTACTTGATCTGGTCAATCGCACATTGCGAGTGTCCTGGCCTAACCGTGGTTTAGGGTTAGGGTGCGCACGCCTGAACTACAGGTGGCCAATGTGGTCTCCATTTCTCCCTGAAATTAGCGCAGCGAAGAAAATTTTGAGGCTGGTCGGGCACTTTGGGGCAATGTGGCGCATTTTTGGCAAATTTCATTGTTTTGGCACAGCTCGGAGCCAAAATGGGAAATTATATCAAATTGGCGCAATCGGCGCAGCTGTTGCATCCCTGTTCATATTGTGCATTATCCTGATTATCCTGATGTGTTCACAAACAAGCTGGTAATGTTCCAGTGCATTTAGTTGAGAACTTGATCATTTGTAACAAGCATTTTTATAAACACACGCGAGCAACTCTAGAGTATGACAACACCGGTGGGAGCCGTGACATAACAAGCTGCTTGTTTTGCTAGCATTTGTATTGTGCTCAACGATATTATTTCGTGGTCAGCTGAATGTGCAATGAAGCTATTAAAGCTTTCTAAAGTTCAACATCAAAAACTGAATGGTTTGCAGCTGCTGAAGGTAGAAGATGACAGCTCCACTCCATGGAGCATGTATCACACATTCCATAGCATATTGGCGGTTGACGGCAGTGAGCGGGGTTTAGAGCCGGCGATTTCGAGGGCTCATTTCACAATGACATATCTTTTTACAGTCCATTTTAAGGACAAGTACAGGCACAATATATATTCTTCTATATTTCCCTGAAAACCCTAATTTTGGCGGGTGACAATGTTATGGTCCCTTTAAGAAGTTTAGAAAGTGCACTTTTAAACAAACCACATTTTTTTTTTTTTGTCTTTGGGTTGCACAGTCGAATCTCGTTATTTCAACCAGGCTTAATTGGAACTTCCGGTTAATTCGAACTCACGATGCGGTTCCGTCAAAGCTATGTGTATTTCAATGGGCGCAAACGCCCGGTAATTCGAACGCCCAAAGCACTCTGATAGTTAATTCGAACATACCGCGCTCCGAAAATGCTCTCAGCACCCCGCCCAATCTTGCCGTGGCACCTGCGACACCTCAAAACTGCCGGCGGAAGGAATGAAAAGCAAAGAAAAGGCTGCGGTGCAATGTTTGCTCTCTCTCAAATGCCGATCTGCGACGCGCCCGTGTCACCACAGAACACCTGTGTCACGCTTTTCCTTTTTCCGTCCCTGCCACGTAAAGACCCTCCTCCTTCCAATGCTGTGCCCAAGAGAGAGAGGGAAAAAAAAGAACACCGTCGCTGGGTTGAATGAATGTGTGGTTGAAGGAAAAGAAAAAGGCACTATCTTCCGCAGCCCTCACCCCTTGCGGAAGCACGGTTCTGCACCTTGAAAGGGGGGGGTCTCTCCCGTGCCAGTGCCACACTCTCTCTTTCCCTTCCCTGCCACAAGTGGGCACGATACTCGTGCCAGGCACTGGGATGCGACATCTGTGTGTGAGACCCCCGATGGTGCATTGACACGCCACGTTCACGTACGAGATTGGTCGAAGAAAGGCTCGTGGCATGTGACCCGAGTCGTAATGGGAAATCCCCGAGGATGATATGTCACTGTGCGTTGGGGCTTCAAACTGCGAAGATCACGAAAACCAGTGTCGTTACCGCGATAGAAGCAGTGGAGCTGCTCGGTACTGAGGTTGTACGCGTGCCTACGCGTGCAAGTGGTTGGAGCTTAACCCTTCTCCTTTCAACGATGCGCGCAAGGAGAGCAAAAAAAAAAAGCTGCGACGACGTGTTGGTTTTCTCTCAAATACCGATCTGCTTCTTCTCGTCACGTGCTGGCCATGCTGCGGCTGCGTAGTGGAGAGCGGGAGGCTCCGCTACGCAGCAGCTGTTGTTGTCGTCGTCTTTAG